TGCAAGAAGAGCAAGTCCTGTGAAAGATAAATGCCTTGTTTTCTAGGACTACTATCCTGAAACCATTTCTCCTCTTCGTTTGAATTCTCCTTCTTCTTGTTGTTACTATCATAGGAAACGCATTATTTCCTGCATTTATGCCTGTTGTCTTTTTTCTTATTGACCTCACCGTGCTGTCAAGCTTATTCTCAAAGCATATTTAGAAAAAAACAACTAAGGAGGACTTAAAAGAGGTGATGACTATAAAAAGACAATACTTGTGGAGCTCCTAACCCGTCAGTTTGCAGGCAGTAGCCATCAAGTCATAAAAATATGGAAATATCTATGGCTTGGAGCATGAAAATCAACATATGTAGTCATCATGGGTTTTTCTTTGGAGGATAGGCTAAACAAACTCTGTCACTTCTGCCTTGCACTGGAACCCGCTTTCTCTTTTAGGGATCACTCTGCCGTTTCCTATTAGTGTTAGCAGCGCTCCGAATTGCAAAACCTTCAGATTAACGTGCCGAATCCTGTCATTTTTCCCACAGGCTGTCTGGCAATGATAATCCACTAAAGGATTGTTCCATCCGAGTGGCGGTGTCCAAGTCAAACGCTGGCAACAGGCAGGGGAACCCAAACCTGTTGAGGCAGACTTCTGCCGCCATGTGAGGAATCGGAGCGACAGGCTGCAGGGCGGGAGGCAAGGGACACGCTGTGCCCACGCAGGGCGAGTCCATGGGCTGTGCCCGTGATGGAAGACCGCGACTGCCATCCTGATAGCTGGAAGTTTGTGGGCCACGATGCCGATCCTGGTCAGAGCGGGCCTGGGGCTGCGCTTGTTGGAGCAGTGCCTTGTCAGATTAGCTATACGGCTGCTGTGTGCGATTCTCAACCTGGACAGACAGGCCTGCCAGGCAGAAACTGCTCAGGCAGATGATGCTGGGGAGGACAAAAATTATCCACTGCAAGACTAAGAAGACAGATGACACCCAGCAGGAATGGCGAGCCAAATCTGCAGAATCCACAATACAGCTGGCTAGCCCTAGGCTACCTGCCTCTTTGAAGTGGAAGAGACATCACCGATGAGCTGTCAAATTAGATCACCAGCCTGGAAACGCTGAAAGAGATTTAGTTCTTCCAGCAGAGAAGGGGAAGTGTAATAGATGAAAATCTTCCTAAAGGGGCCAAGGTAATGTGGGAGGGGAAGGGGGAATCCTGAACATGCAACAACAATGAAAAATTACTAGCCTCTCTCCTGCCTGCATTGGAAAGATGAAGTTGGCTGCGTTACATGGCAGCAGGAATCACTGCAGTCACTACCAGCATGGGAAATAAGAGCGATGCCTGCAGGAATGCGCACATAGCAGCAACAAGTAAGTGTTTCTATAAAATCAAATTCCTTCCCAGATCAGTGATGTCTTTATATGTCACCCCAGAGCTGGGATCTAGAGTAGTATAAATCTAATATTCAAAACGTGCCACAGAGGGATGCAAAGACCCCAATCTAACACTAAAAGCTCAGTGCAGCAGAGGCACACGATGGCAACTCCCCCCTGCTTTCTTCTCCAATAGCACTTGCTAGTATTGGTGCACGGAAAATGCAAGGAATGCAGTTCAGTTTTGATGGATCAAAACCAAAAATTAAGATTGCCAAGTGCACAAGCATATATTCAGGTGCATGGTGAACGTGACACCTGACCCTTTCATTAGGGTAGGGATGGCAACAGCATGATCTAATTGTACATTCAAGGAAGAAATACTGCTCTTGGTGAGGGGGAAATATTAAATGTAGTAATCCATTAAACCATCCATCACTGCAAATACACTTTGAATTTAAAAGACCATGAAACACACTAAAGATTAAAAGTAATGATAAAACTGAAAACAAAAAGGAAAAAAAAAATTAAGCCTACAAATCCCTCCTCCTAATTTCAACTCCAGCAAAACAACAACAAAATTCCTTAATAGGTGTAAACATACAACTTTAAAATCAATATACATTCATATTAAGGCAAACTTATTTGGAGAAAAATTACGATAACCTATTCCCTGCTTGAGCATTCATGTAGCAGACAAACCACAATTCAACTGCAGAGATTCAAACACAAGATGCTAACAGATCAGAGAATATTATACAAACTAGACCTCTGGATACAAGAGCTTACATAGGATTTTTTAGTATATAACAATTTGGATAGGTGTATCTCTTCCTTCATTGTTATTTCTCTCAACTAATCCCTTTCTAAGTACCTTGCCCTACTCTTCTGCAAAGCCACAGCATCAAGGAACGGAGTTTTGGTTATCTATTGCATTTTAACCAAGAGGAGATTAAAAAAGCTCAAGTTGTAGAGCAATCTTTATCTCTGGCTTTTACTAGAGTGTATTGTATTTCAAGGATAGAACCACATTAACACTTCAAAGGTACATTTTATATATATATTTCAAAATAGTTAATATACATGAACATCTTTGAATTACAGAGTACTCGTGTCTGTTTTAAACTTGTCTCAACTCACTGCTGACAACTTGGGATCCACACCCATGCTTACTAATCTGTTACTCTTCCATCAGCTGTACATATAGTAAACTTTCTCAGTATGTGCGTGAAGAAAGAGAAAAATTATGTTGTCAATATATACTCCAATAAGCTATGACATCCGTTGGGAAGGTTAGGATGCAACTTAAATAATAAGTCTCCCATTTTTAGGGCTATATTCTTCCAAAGTATTGGAAATGAGCAAATTCCTGGGAGAGGAGATATTTCAATTTCAAAATACTTAGAGCGTGGTGTAGCCTATGGAAGACTACAAGAGAAAACTGATTAAAAGGATGTGAAAATATTACCTCTTACAGGCTACCAGCTAGGATATGTCAGCATCCAGGTTTTATGCATTTTACCCGAAGAATCACTGACAACACATTTGATTCCAAGAGGTTTGCACCTACTAAGAGTGGGCAGTGAAGACAAGTAACAGAACTTGTTTGACTCAACCACTTCTGCTGTTAACCTCAAGCAATGCCTACATTACCTGCCTGCCTCATAGGTAAACCACTGATAATACAAAGAACTTAAAAAAGAAAACAAAAGTATTACACACTGAAACTATTATCAAAATTTTCTTTAGTTTTGATTCTGAAGAATGCAGATTTCCATTTATCTGAATGGCCAGGTTTTCTGTTTGTTTTGTGCCTTACTGTAGCACAGACCCTCTTGAACTGCTCATTCCTACCAACTCTTCTATACGGCCTTCCTATATTAAATCCAAATTTTTCTGTAAATCACCACTGACCAATTTTAAGTCTATGCAAGAACTGCCCTTAGATACTTCTGCAGTTCAGCTGAACTCTGACTTCTCACTTAAAGTTACTCATGCAAAGACAGGTGACAATCATCAGTCTGTTGCTGATCTATCCAACACAACACTTGAAAGTCTGTTTGAACACGGCTTGCTTATGAGTGATGCCCATCCCAGTATTGAGGTGAAAAAGACAAGCCAAAGAGGGGGAAGTGTAAGATTCCACTGAACACTTACAATTATCCTATTTATTTCACTGCTGAATTCTTCCATTGCTGAAAGGTTGTCACGCAGTACTATCTCACCATATGGCAACAACCTCAAGTCCTAGAGGCACATACTTAAAAGACCATAACATGTCAGGGCCCCTTGAATAAATTAAATAGAACAATTATGCAAAATAATAATACTGCAATGATGAGATACATTAACAAATGAGACTGTCACTGTTCATGAAACGCCATGAAAATAAATTCCACACATCACTGTGGTCATCATCATCATCAAACTGTGAAGCGACAGAAGTAAAACAACATCACAGTATTTACTGTGCCCTTCAGCAACAGAAATTTTCTGAAAAAAGAAGAGGTTGCAAGGGAAGGAAGTCACTTCTAGCAATATTCAATAAGGGTATAACAAACTATTACAGAAATAGACTAGCAAGGGGTTTTTTTTTTGGTGTTGTTTAAGAAAACAAAACAAAACCCCACAATAGCATGAGTGCTTACCCACGCTCTCTTTAGGTGGAGCGTCAGCATTCATCTGACAGAGCTGAAGCACGTTACAACTCAGTGGTAAACAACATGAAGCTTCATCTTAAAAACCTACCTCAAACAACTTTAGGCCAAGGTACGTTTTCATATTTACTTCCATTAATTTTATTACATACTCAGTGTCTAAGATCAAAAGGTATTAGACAGAAAGAGGTAGCATGGAGGAAATCAATACCATCTGGTTTTCTCAGTGTTCTCTCTGAAGCAAAATGTCTCAATTCATCTTTCTTTGCTTTTAACTCTCTATTCCACTTATCAACTAATCTACATAGGGGAGTGAAAACTGAAATGCTCGAGCTAGCATATCAGTCACCAAATGTACTTCTGTCAGCACAGATCCAGATTTTACTAATCCCTTCTAAACATTTCATGCTTGGTTTTTATTTTTTATTTAATTATTTCAGCAGCAATCTACACTTCTGTTTTACATCAGAGAAAATAAGAGGCTAGGATACTGCAGTCAAAGCATGTAGCGACGTAGAGAAATCCTGACACTTCAACACAGCAGCTGTTTGGGCAAACACCTCAACACCAAAACAAACACCTTATGCCCACCGTGTTCTGTGGCACAGTGACCCAACAACATGTTTCAACTGACAACAGTCTCTTTGGTTTTAAAGCAAACTTTTAAAAACAAGAAGTGATAGTGGAAGAGCAGCTCATCATTATCTCAAGTACTTCCTTCCCCATCTTCTTTTTTAGGACCCTGAAATGTGCAGTCTTTCTTCTGTGGAAATAACATGAAATGACAGCATATGCAGAATCTCAATAAATGCTAATATTGTTGACTATTGTCATAAATGCTAATAAATAAGTGATAAATGCTAATATTGTTGAACATTGTGAAAGAAAATGCTTCTGGATTCTACATCAAAGTCCATAAAATGAAATAGCATGTGAACTAACTTTTATTTTTTTTTTTAATAAACTACAGACTTCCACAGCCAAATTAAGACTACAGTTTTAAAATAATTTATTCAGTCACATAAATACTTTGTAACATTTTCATGTTCCCTTTTTCACATCATTGGCACACAATATAGCTCTTAACTTTTACAAAACTAGTGTAAACATTCATGGAAAATAAAATGAAAAGAGGGACATACGCAGAAACTCAATAAATAGTAAAATGAGTGTGCAGTCAAAGGAAAAGAAGTAATTCTTTCCTACAAAGACCATGTAATTACAGTTGAACGCTTAACTAAAAGAACATTTCATCTTTAAAAAATAGTGAATTAAAACTCAATTCCCATCTTTCTGCCATTGTTGCATTTAATCAGATACATGATAAAATTCTGTAGCCAGTTCAAATTCTTGAACAAAGAATAACAATTCAATGGAACTGTATTACTTGAGGCATCACCAGTTTTGGTTCACATAGAGAAGCTTACAAACCAGTATTTGCAAGGCAGTGGTTTTGGACAATGTAACTTCTAGACTCCCAAATACCACTCTGACACAGTATTAAAATTCTCCTTAATGAGCATTAGTATATAATCTGTTCTTGATAAAGACGACATTAGTCAGATGTTGTCGGACACCTGGATAATGCTGAATGTGGTTGAACCAGCGAGATACATTAAGGTAAATCTCCTTTTCTTGCACAGTGAGGTCCACCTGCGTGGGGAAGAAAGAAAATTGCATTATTAATATTATGAAATGTGGTGAGAAAAAAGAAGTGCAAAGCTTTATGGCTGATTTCAACTTGCAAAAGAGTTGTTGCTGTCCAGCAGCGTTCTGCCTCCATTTCACAGATAAAGATTCACAGCCCAAAACATGTGTTTATTTCCTGAAATGAACACATCTGCAGAATGGAATATACATTTGTATGACATACTTGGAGGTGGGGGAAAGGGTGTTAACTTGCTTGAATTTAACCAGTCTACGAATCCATGTAACACCGAGGAGCAGAGGAGAGTTCCTGAACTTGCATAAGTCTTGTGCACTTCTCTCATTCAGCAGGTGGTCTCGCCTCACTGGCCAAGGGCAAAGTGTATTAGAAGTTCAGGAATACATTTTTTTCAGGCCACTTCATACTGCATAGGAAAGAGGAATGTTGTTTTCCTCTTTGAGCAATAGTTCTACAGTAGTTACCAAGAAACAACACAGCACAGGGCATCACAGTACAGGAAGGACAAGGATCTCTTGGGACGGGTCCAGAGGAGGGTCACTAAGATGAGCAGTGGGCTGGAGCACCTCTCTATGAGGAAAGATTGAGGGAACTGGGCTTGTTTAGCTTGGAAAAGAGAAGGCTCCGGGGAGACCTCATTGTGGCCTTCCAGTAGTTGAAGGAAGCTTATAAACAGGAGGGGGAATGGCTGTTTATGAGGGTGGACAGTGATAGGACAAGGGGGAATGGTTTTAAACTGAGACAGGGGAGGTTTAGGTTAGATATTGGGAGGAAGTTTTTCACACAGAGGATGGTGATGCACTGGAACAGGTTGCCAAGGAGGCTGTGGATGCCCCATCCCTGGAGGCATTCAAGGCCAGGCTGGATGTGGCTCTGGGCAGCCTGGTCTGGTGGTTGGTGACCCTGCATACAGCAGGGGGTTGGAACTAGATGATCGCTGTGGTCCTTTTCAACCCAGGCCATGCTATGATTCTGTGATTCACTGTTCAAATGTGCTATCTAGCTTTATTAGGAAGGCAATTATTATGTTAAAATAAAATGAAAGATGTCTGTATTTCATAAAAGTATTGAAATTTTTATTCCTTACTCCTACAGTTATTTCTATCATTCCCAAACTTTCAAGTCAGTATCAGTCATGTGTTCAGTGTAACTCAGAGTTAAACAGCCACAAGAAGAGCCAGGATTATACAGCTACTCCAACAGCTCCTTGCCACTGCAATACTGGGTAACAGTTATGAGGAGCTTCCGGGCTAGTTTTATCATAGTACTGACCAAGCAAAGTCATTTATGATTACATGTAATCTATACTATTCAAAGTCTTCTAAATTAAAACAAGCAAAATCCTTAAGATTCTCTTTTAAGACTTATTACTTCAGTTTATTTCAAGCAGGCAGTAGAACTAACTATTCCCATACTGTATCACCTGTATTACCTTGCCTTGATTACTAATTCCGCACCTCATTCCTCTGGAACCAAGTTAGTGTATCTATTTAGAGAACAATCTGCTTTTTGTTTTACCTACTGTACTGAGTAAGCTTCAAAGCTATAAAACTATTGGGAACAAAACATGATCTTCATGTGAACCACCCTATCTCATCTCCCCACACAGCCACGTCGAATGGGGTTCACCTCACTTCAGTCAGCCATCAAGATGCACTGATTCACCTCCATGCCTGCAGTTCTAGCTGAGCTAAAAACTTAACAGAGCTTTGTTAGGAAAAGAACAATACTGGTAAGATGAACATCTTGTTACAGACAGAGGCGTTACAAACTAAAAGTGGGAGCTATTAAAATGTAACACTGAATGCTTTTTTAATTAAGATACTTGATAAGTTGCCTGAGGTTCTTCAAGTGTGCTACACTCAGGACAAAATAAACATGCACTACCATTTAGAGGGCGATGTTTCTAATCACATGCAGTTTGTTGTAATTAATGATAGTGTGATGCCAGTGCTTGCTATGAAGCCGTAGAAGCATTTACAAAACAACACACAGTATGAAAAGAGCAACATAGAGCCAAAAAATCATCTAAAACTAATAGGTATCCTCATTTGTAGTAAAGTATGAGCAGGTACTAAAAACACTAAGTTTGGTGACTAAGGTACACTGAGTATTACAATGAGTATTGTATGAGTATTACAATCCAATTGTAATTAGAATACCCCATTTCCAACATCCATAGCGGGCAAGCACTTGGTTATAAGAGTGCTGAAAATAAACTTGACATTTGGCAGGAGATACATTTCTTCTCGAGATTTTATACTTTTAACTCTCCATCCTCACATTTCTTTGATATTATTCGAAAACAGTCTTATGAAAATAGTCCTCCTCCATTCTGTAAGTATAGTGAAAAAACATCTGAATGGCTTCACAGGCAGGTTCTGTAAAAGTAAAACCCTTTCTGTACTTCAAGCACAGCATTCAAGATATCTTTGCTTATTTACATAATGTATTCTCAGTGAAATATATTCAAAAGCACTCTGTGGCATGCTCTATTTTTTACTCAGGACATCACTCTTAGGTTAATTGTTTAGAGATCAGTTCCATGGCGTTTTTACAACATTTTGTTAGATGGGTATTTTCTATTCTTCCTCATTAAATTAGATAATTCCCCCAAGTTAAGAAAGGCTGCTGTTCTGCTGGTAAAATAATTATTTGCTATTAAAGCAATTATTTCAATAGCAAAGAAGCAGACACTCAATTTGATGCCTTTTTTTTTTTTTTTAAATTATGGGGAGAAAAAATAAAAAGCCTTACTCTTCTGCCACAAAGCTCACAAAGGATAATGAAAATGGGCATCACACAATGCAAACAGAAGAGTTTCTAGAAGGACCGTAACTATACCAGCTTTAATTATATTTGCTTTCAGTAGCACTGGGGATGCAGACAAACTCCCATGCCTGTACCTGTATGTGCATGGGAAGTCTAGAAATACCTGTGTATATTTAGAGTCCTTCTGCATGAAGAGAAGGACAGATACTACCAGTTTTTAATCTAGCCTTTAGATATGGAAATAGAGGTGAAAGTAGAAAACAAAACAGCCAAGTTCAGAATTCTGTAAGACACATTTCACATGGTCTTAACTCATTTTCTGCTGTTAGAGGAAAAGCTAAGAATCAAGGTACCTTTAAAGTTTTTATTATTTTTTGCAAATTGAGGACTGTTAGCATAATTCTTTAGAATGAAAGCCTGTTATCCAGGTTCTAAGATAAGTAGTGTATCAATGAATATTAAAAGAAATTATGGCAATCCATTAAATACTGGAAATCATCCCAGAATCATCCTAGAATGGCCTGGGTTGAAAAGGACCACAGTGATCACCTAGTTTCAACCTCCCCGATACATGCAGGGTCACCAACCATAACCTCCTTGGGCAACCTGTTCCAGTGCTTCACCATCCTCTGTGTGAAAAACTTCCTCCTAATATCTAACCTAAACCTCCCCTGTCTCAGTTTAAAATCATTCCCCCTTGTCCTATCACTGTCCACCCTCATAAACAGCCGTTCCCCCTCCTGTTTATAAGCTCCCTTCAAGTACTGAAGGCCACTATGAGGTCTCCGCAGAGCCTTCTCTTTTCCAAACTAAACAAGCCCAGTTCCCTCAACCCTTCTTCATAGCAGAGGTGCTCCAGCCCTCTGATCATCTTGGTGTCCCTCCTCCAGACCCGATCCAAGAGCTCTACATCTTTCTTGTGCTTGTGGCCCCAGCAAATATTATCATGAAAAAAAAAAAAAAACCAAACAGGAAAAGAAACTACTAATGCAGTCTCATTATATTTCTACATTAGTAATCCTGACTCGAGGAGCATAACTCGGTTTGGTAATAGATTGTACTAGAATTGACCCCAAAATTTTGACGGAGGCTTCTATTTGTAGATACATAAATTTCACCCCAAGTTGTTTTCCAGCACTCATTAAATAAATTTTAAATTCAGACATACAGATCTGATATGACTACTTTGGTTCTGCCTGAATTTACAAAGTAGAAAAAAAAACTAAGTCAGATCAGCCTCTGTATTGATAATTTCTCTTAAACATTTTTAAGTAAGACTTCACTAGTTTGGTTCTATTTACAAATTAAAACATAGGGAAAACTTTAAGAACAAGTTCATCACCACAGGGGAACTTAATGCTCACTGATTGCCCAAGTTATCTTCAAGCAGTGTTTCCTAATTCATATTTTCTTTGCAATCTGAGCTTTAACCTAGCAGAACTTCACTGTTGATCACATTCATCTACATAAACATTTGAGTAATCTGTATGTCTAAAGACAAGAGTGTTTATACATACTAAGGTACATGGTTCAGAGGGAAAATATTGATGGTTGGACTGCATGGTCTTGGAGGTCCTTTTCAACCTTGGTGATTCTGATTCTACATTAGACACATGGAGACATGGAATTACATATGACAGTGTAAGTCATGGCAATTTAAAAGAAGGCATCTGAGAGCTAGCACCAAGCATTACACTTTTTGGGTATTTGTGACCTACATCATCATACAGAACAGTGTACACAGTTTACTTACTGCCTCATTATTACCAGTGTATATTTCTAATTAAGAGACTTATTTTTTTCCCTCTACTAGTCTGCATGAAGAACAAAAAGATTCCCTTAGTGACCTTCTCTCACTAAAATCCTAATTCCTTGGTCATTGCATGGATTTCTAGACATCTATTGTTGTGCTAAATAGAAAAGAACGAAAGAAAGGCATGCAACTGTAAGATTAAAAGTTGCTGTTAGTCTATTTGAATCAGGAATCAGTTTTTCCTATTGATTCTTCACTGACAAGAATATACAGTTTCCAGAACCCCACCTGGATAACGAGGGGTGCAAAGCAAAAGTGGAAGTGGGGAGGATTACAGAGATGTATTATTTATACACAGAAACACTACTAAAAGAAGGTGGAGGAGTTAGTAGTAAAAGCAGGTGGTCTTAATTTAAACTGTTTCCAATACCAGGTGCATGAGATGGTTTCAAAACTTCTAACACTGCTCAGCTCATGCAGTGCAATCACAGTATGTCACAAGTACGTATTTTATAGAGCTATCTGTTACCCCATCAAAGACAGGGAGATTGGCCCTAAGGATCTTTATCAACAACCCTCTCAGATCCATAGACAACAAGAACATCTCTTATTTTAAGGGATTATCAAAGACAAAGTATTTTGCACGAGGCTTAGCTCAAACAGCAGTGGATATCAGGAACTGCTTCCTTGGAATGCACCACATTAAAAGATGGAGCAGCTTTCCCCTCCACCTAAGGCTTGAGGCACAGAAACAGTTCTGAAAGTACTCTCTTCTCATTACAGGAAAAAAAAAATAGTCACAGGATTCTACAGTTCAAGATATCTTACTTCCATTAACTACTTAGTTAACTACTTACTTGACTACTAATATTAATCAATTTTAAAGCCTTAAAAACATACACAATCTAGCTAATCCGTGGCGAGCAGCTTCTGATATTCCTCTATTGGAGAGCAACCCCATTATTTGCCCTTTATACCTTTCTGAGTCACAAAATTATCATCTACAAAAATCAAGCACTTCAGAAGCAGATGTTGTACAATAAACTTGTCCCAACTAGTGTCTGCATGGTTGCAGGCACCCAGGAGCACTAAGTCATTTGTTTTTACCATCTGCTCTATTTCCCAAAGCAATAACTTGTGTCTTTTCTTCTTGATTAGGTGGTCTACTCTAGAGCAAACTCTAAATATAAAATACGCTTGATTTTCCCCAGCCTAAGGTTTTTTTTTTTTTAATGTCTCATTTGAGTTTGTATTTTCTTACACTACATAGTTGTATTTTTAAAAGTATTCTTACACATCTGTACTGCCATATAATATGGGAAAGGTAAACATTTGACATACAAGTTAACACATCCATCCTTTACAAGGAAAATATGACTCAAGTATAACTTCAACATAAGATCTCTTTCATTTTTGGTTATATTTCATTACCTGATCTCTTCCCCCACCTCCTCTCTTTAAAATCCCTTCTGTAGCACAGCATTCTAGTACTCTGCCTTTAATTGTGTAAACCAACAATTTAACTAGCTGAACCCTTTCCCCTGTTTCCTATTGTAAAACTCACTGACTTTGTCCTCTCGAGACTTTGGCAGACTGGTTTGATTTGTTTAGCAGTGTTCACTCAAGAGAAGGAGCACTCACAATCACATTCCAGTTGCTCAAATACAACTAACTTCTATTTCTTCATTTTCAAATTACCTCTCGAGGTTCAGAAGTGAGGTGGAACAATTTTTAAGCACTTCACAGTAAACACTAAGCTACACATGAAGAACCTCTACATCATTTTCATTCAGTAAAACCCCTTGCTCCCCACTCCAAGTACCAGCTCCTCATGTTATTTCCATATTCAGTGTTATCAAGTCTTATCACTAAGTCTTGAAACACCAATGACCTTTTATCCTGGCTGACACTTGTATGCATTCATCCTTCAGGAACTTGATTAATGTGCATCTTCCATAGCACCAGTAGTACTTCTAACAATTTTAGTACTTGAGTTCTGACACCTTTTAGTTTCATTTATCAGCTATCATACCGGGGCTGTGGATGCCCCGTCCCTGGAGGTGTTCAAGGCCAGGTTGGATGGGTGCTGGGCAGCCTGGTCTGGTATTAAATGGGGAGGTTGGTGGCCCTGCCAGTGGTGAGGGGATGGAGCTTCATGATCCTTGAAGTCCCTTCCAACCTGGGCCATTCTGTGATTCTATGATTACCCCCATAGTTCTGCAAACAGACACGTTTCAGACCTGAACACATACGATCCCTCATAGGTAGAAACAGAGGGACAGGTATCGTTCTCATGTTATAGATAGGAAACTAAAGCAGTACAGATACGGTACTACAGATAAAACTTATTTTCACAGATCTATGGCTAAATGTAAAAAAGATTAAAAATGAACATTTATAGACAAATTATATTTGAAGATCTTTGGAAGAAATCTCATTTTTTCCCCCCATAACTGTCATTGATTAATTCAGTAGATCAACTTGCACAGCAATAAATTGCCCCTCACATAAACAAGCAATTACAATGACTGCACACACATAAAAGTAATGCAAACAGTACTTACCATAACATGATGCAATCCGTAGTACATCAAAATATCTGCTAAGGTAAAACTGTTTCCTGCAAGGTAGACTTTATCTTCAAGGTGCGCATTAAGATCCTAAAAATAATAATTGAAAAAAATGATTACAGTGCTGATGTGGGTAGACAAAACACTAAGGCAGTTAAAACAAAAAAGAGAAATTCCTCTGAGATCACACATGTACAATAAATGCCAGCTGCAATTTATTCAAACATAGAAAAGAAGAAAGACATACGAAGATGAAAAATTTTAAGTACTTCCTAAATGCTTTCAAATCCATCTTTTCCAGGCTACAATTTACTGAAATAAAAAAAATAACCTAGAGTCATGCATTTTCTTGGCTAGCATGTATGATTCATAAGAACACCAGTGCTTCAAAGAAACGCTTAAATTACAAATACACAACAAGTGAGGAAAACAAAGGTATGATGGGGTAGGAGGGGCATTTCAAGCTCCTGTCTGGAACTTGAAGCTAATTAGCTGCTTCCATTTGACCCCTGCTTTTATTAATGTTGAAATCACTGATAGCAATTCACAATCAATACTGTCAGTTCAGTCACTACAGAAGCCCATACAAAGGAGCACTGCTTCTGAACTTCACGTGTACCTCTCTTGCTCAGCAACTCTGTATTAGAGGCTACAAGGCTGTGTAGCAGAGGGCTTCCATTTCAGTTCAATGAGTAAATAGCTCAAGTCTGTATTACTTAAGGACTCCTTTAATATGCAATCATTCTCTGCAGGAAAACAGAAGGCTGATGTTTACTGTTGCTCAACTGCATTGTATCTGAAATTCAGGTACTGCCTGCCAGCTCTCTCTTCACCCATCCAGAAGTAGTACCCTCCATTTCACCATACCTTACCTACTTCTCATCCAAGTCACACATCTTTGTGCCCTCTACCTCCCTCTGAAGAAAACTTAACAGCCAGCAGATTTACTCAGCTCTAATCCTAAGGGCAAACTGGTTTTTATGATGTTCTTTCCTGAAAGGTAGGAAAACAGTTCCCCGCCTTTTCCTTGTATGTGGAAATTTCCTGCTAATGTTCCTCTGCTGGTTGGAAAACAAACAAGAAAACAAACAAACAAGCCTCCAGAAAATGCAACTTCCTCCTGGAAATAAAGGTAAGAAGCTTAAACAATGTTTTTCAAAGATCACGATTATTCAAGATTATCAGTCTCAACTACAGCTTGTTTCATTTTAAGGGAAGAATATGGGATATATTCATTACTGAAAGTAAAAAAAATAAATAGATTTAGCCTGAATTGCAATTCTAGCTCCATAATTCTGCTTTCTCAAACATGCAGACATATCCTACAGTGCATACACATAAAAAGAAAAAAAAGGGAAACATCTGACCATGCATTTAAGTATGGCAAGTTGGACTCCATTATGCAATGTTCTTCGGCAGCCTCTTTATGACAGGAGTCCTGTGCTTCCTAATATTTAAACATCCAAGTGTCTGCTTTGATTTACTTTTACTAGAGCAAATCAAGGAAAAATATTAACCCCTGCATAGTTCAGAATCTGTATGGTCATCTGCCTCCAGCTACGTAGCTATTTATGTTTTTCTAAGACTGGTTTGCTGCTTTGTTCTTGTTTGTTAGGTCTCACTTTAAAGATGTAACTACAATTCTGTAGTTGAATTTTATTCATGTAACAGAAGCAAATGCTATGTTAAAAAGAAAAGAGCTCACATCAGAAAATCTGCAAGTCAGTACATATGCTGCACGGTATATTTGTAAATACACAAATTATTTATCAGTAAGAAATAACTCAAACTTCAAAGTAAAGTTACCCACTGAAGTGTTAACAATTATTTATTCTAATTAAAATTTTATCAAGTCAGTTAACTGGCAGTTTGACAAATGTGTTTTATTCGTGGATAAATCAGCATTAGTCTGCATTTTTCTTTTGGAATACACACATTCCTCTCGTAAGATACAGAAAAATACTGATTTCATACTGTCAAAGTCAAGTTAATTTAGAAACACCACAGAGCATTCCTTTCCATGTGCACTAGGAACATTTAATCAATCCTGTTTCATATGTTGTACTTCCCGTGGATTATTATATTACTGGCTAATTGCCAGCTGTGTTAGAACTCCTGAAAGCCAAGCCTTCTTAACTGTCCTCAGCATTAAATTCAAACAGCCTTCCTGTCACGGAGAGATTAGTGAAAATATGAATGCAATACTCCATTTGAATTTCTATTACCATCTAGAAATTCAGGTCTGTTAGCTGTTATTTGTGTCACTGCCTTTCATCTACTTGATGTCTTCTTAAATCAATTATGTATTTACAACTCTAATAGCAAGTGATTGACAGAGTCTTGCAAATTGCTCGTGGCTAAATTAACTTCTTGGTGCAATCCTGCAGGAACCCCTTCTCAAGTTTCAGATACATTCAAAGTATAACAGCAGTTTACTGTAATAATACACACTGAACAACTGCAGCAATTTCAATCCCAGTTTTGGGTACGAATGAGGAAAAAGCAAGAGAAAAAAAAACAAGATGTTGTATTATTTATAGACTTACTGATGGATTTCTGAACTGATATTCTGTGATACAAAATATCCTGATGCACAGTGACAGCTCAACACATCCCATACACAGCACATTTTTCATGTGGTTTACTTTAGCTATGAAGCACAATTGTCTGTAACCCCGTTCATCCATTAAGATAACTAAACCCCTCCCAGACCACAAGTTGAGACAGAGTCCACCATTGCATCTCAGGTAACAGCTGCCTCCTACAATGACTCAATAACTTATAAGGGATCTAATCATACCCTGATTACATTTTGGATACTTTGCCCATAGAAATGCTCTGCTGGTATACGTACTTTCTTTCAACATTCCTTCAGTGAGTAACAGTCAGAGGGTCACTGCCCACCTAAATGCCTTCACAGGGCACTACACAAAGAGAGTTAAGCACTCACATGTCCCAAACAAATCCTGGACAACACAGAATCCAAGAAGAGGATTCAAGAGTCCTTCCAAGAAAGGCACAACTTCATGGTTAGGGGTGTATCCTTGTTTTCAGTTCTGATGCAAGACATCTATCTAAAGGTGAGCTAAGCCTGGTCTGGAAAAATATTATATTCATAATGTGATTTCTGCAAAGGATAGAAGAAAGATAGCTCTCTTAACAACTGCTGCTCAAATAATCAAAACACAATCTTTTATGCCTGCAAGCAAACAATTTCACTCTTAGAAAAAGGAGAGGAGTGGAAACAGGCACAGAGTTCCAATAAAGCTTGCTGGACAAGCTTGTTGAAGTGGTTAGGCAACCCATTGAAAAACAGCATACAAGAACCATGGATTAATGCCATGAAGGCAAATGCAATGGATTAACCTACATAGTGATAGAAACAGTAATTTTTCAAACAAGTACAACAATAACTGAAGCTTGTAACAATTTATTTAGATTTCTAATTGAACTTCATGATTGGAGCCAGAAAGCACAAGAAATTAGGACAGAATTGGCTGTAATCGTGGAATATTTTTTATATGAGATGCAGCAAGGAGTACACAAATTCTTGGCTATAATCACTTTCCAGAAAACAGAGTTAGAACTTTCTACAGCTCCACAGAAACTTTTCTGTGAAATCCAGTAGAAACTCCCAGCTACATTTGGAATAGACAGTATTTGTCCCCTCTCAGGTACCAAGTTTTCAATACATAAAATTGACAAGTCAGAGACATTCAAATCTCATGAATGGAATTTGTTAATATACAAGCAGAAATTTGGTGGCATGAGCATTTCTCAGAAGTTCTCAGTTCTTCGGCAGAGGAGCAGAATCCCTACTTGGTATCAAGAAAAACTCAAGAATTCGGATATTCCCCCCACTCCTCATATGTAATTTAATTTCCCACTAATTAAAAATCATTCCATTGATCAGAAGCAAAGGAAATTCAGTCTCATTCTGTGGAAACGGAAGTTAACATAACACATTGGACTGATATCATCACCACCATTGACAGTAATTATTTCTACACATCTGTAGACCAGCCCACAGGCATTGCTTTTGTTTATTTTGTCCAGCACAGCAACTCAACCCAATTTGGACAGAACTATTTAACACGTGCATTGAAAATTTCTGAACTGCACGGATTTTGCTCCAAATAAATTAAAAATTCTTCTTGAGGTGGCCTCCTTCACAATTGTTTTCATGTCAGGTAACAGCTTTAGTCAACTTGCCAGTCAGAACAAGCTTACAAATGTTTTCTTAAGGCTAACAAAAAAACCCTCCCTCTCTTCAAATTAGCAAACATTACAGCAGTTATTAACTGATGTTTTTCAGAACCACATCAGCTCATTTAAGGGTTAACCAGTGGCAGCCCAAAGTTTACAACAGAAGCAACTGAACTGTTTTTGGCACAGCTTATTATAAATTGTGGCTCTAGGCTGCAACTGTCCCAAGACTGCCATTGATTATTCCAGACACGTTGTAAAACTACAGTCTCAGACTTGCCTCCCTATTTTAGTCCCCCCCCCTCCTTTCTTTTCCCTTCTCATACTCCCTTTTGGCATAGTATACTTTAATGGTAGGCTGCCTCTTGCTCTGATTAATCACGGCAGCAAGAGAACAAATTAAAAAAAAAGTTAATTGCTACCCTGCAAAATTATTAGTGCTGGAGCAATTCCACAGCATCAAGATAAACTCTGGCCATTCAGCATCTGCTATGAAAGAAAAGCTGTAGAAAAAATTAAGTGCTATTTAGGATCTCTCTCTTCGCACACAGACACAAACACAGACACAGACACAGACACACAGGCAGGCAGTCAGCATAACTTCAGGGAGACTTTCTCAATGATGAACTTTTGTTTGGAAATAATTTATCCACATGTCTGTTTTAGCAAATTGCTTTTTTCAGACTGTCAGGGCTGCTAAGGGCAAAACTGAAAAAGACAAAAAATATCAGCTTCAGAATGAAAATGTACCTGGTGTTACCACCCAATCAGTTCTACAAAATACTTGTGGGTGCAATGACAAAGCAGGTATCATCATTTAAGCCACTCAGACTTGAAGTCTTTAATTTTTGTGAATTAGACTAAGGGCAAATCCTTGCAAGATGTTTGGATGTTGCTTAGGAAGGTAATTCACAACTGCTGTGATGAAGCTCTACGTAGCTGAACAATCTTCTATCAAATTATATATATAAAAAAAAAAGGTAGAAAGGGATCTCCAGCAGCCACCTCACCTTGTCACACCTCCTGTTCAAAGTATAGCTAAACTTCAAGTTAAATCATAATTAGTCCATGCCTCCATCAGTTGAATGCTTAAGTCTTGAGGGATAGACAGCACTTTCAAAGAGTAGCTCTGACTGTAAAGGTTCTGATACCATCCACATAGAAGATAAAACTAGTGCTGTTATAGGGAAAAAAAGAAAAGCAAGCTTGTGCTCATCCCATAGATAAAATGAGATCAAGATAACTCAGATTATCTGAGGTGTAAGTGAAAGAAGTTATTCTGTAGGATGCTCACCAATTCAGTCTTTTTACCGGGCACGATATCCCATGGCCTTAAGATTTAGGGTGCTGTCACTTAGAGAAGGATAATGAATTATTAACAACATATTGCTCTGCACCACTCCCAAAATGTAAAATTTCTTTTGATTTCAAGCAACACAGAAAGTTACATCTAGAAAAAATACTGGAGCAGCAGTCTATCTTTGGCTTGCTGCAATTTTATTTGACTCAGATCTGCCACACCTAACAAAAATCAGAAGCATTAAAACTCTGCTATCACGAAGAATAGACAATCCAATGCCTAGCAACTCACAAAGCTACATCCAAATCTAGACTGATTCAGTAGCATTTGGGTCTTTCTATTTAAAATTGATATGTGTTTCACATACACTTGGTAAACAGTCCCTCAGTACTTAAAAGCATAAAGCAATTTTTCTCTTCAAGCTCTGTTCCCAAAAGATTGCAAACATTCCAATTATCAGTCACAAGGAGTAAGCAGCAAAATAGAATAAGCTTTTCAATCTACTCCCTGCCATCTGGCTGCTTAAATAAAGGGGTTACCCCTGAGATTTTTTTTTCTGTTTCCACCTATCTTAGAATAAGAAAGCTTCAGACTACAAGAAAAAACTGAGTACAGTTGTCTGAAGGCTCCGTACAAAGCAGCTTCATTTGAAGATTGGTTTTTGCAGATTTGCAAAATCTGAAGGTTTTGTTTTTCACTGTTTCACAACACAACTGAGACAACATCATGTATGGACTATATTGCAACTACTAAATCAGGAGGAGAAAAAAAATCTGTATCTGCACAGTTATCTTGTGTTAGCTTGTTTATAACTGAGGTTTTATGAAGGCAGAAAGAAACCAGAGCATCACAAGACAGAGCTGTTAAATAATCTCTATCTGGAATGTTCTAAGCAGTTCACAGCATTACAGCCATAAAACGTGGTAAGAGATTGGCTTCATGTATTTCTGAGTTTGCTTTCAGGTGGCTTTTATGTTTTGCTAATAAAAATCAAAAAGCAGAAGAAAAGCCAGCACTGAAAGACACTCTCCAGTTACTAATCACTTACTTGGTTTTGCTCATGTTAGCACACAGATATTTTCAAGGTCTAATCTCTCCAAAATGCATTGGCAAGTCAGAACTAAGCACTCCTTACCTTCAGAACTGTTCTGGTATCTTCTCTACTAGATTGTCTGCCTACTTGAGTCACTCTGTATTCCAACCACTGATGAACCACTGCTTTCTCCTCTGCAGAACTTCCAAGCAGTTGCTCTTTCTTAGCCTGTTTAACTAAGTATGAAGCTATGGTAACTAATCCTGTCAGACCAGGACCGTTGTTTGTCTGCAGAACAGGAACCTAGGAAAAGGAAGAAATGTTGTAAGGTTATAAAACTGATTCAAAAAAAAGCAGACTCTTTGTGAGCTTAACTATTATTTCTTTGTAGTCTCTCAGAAGACTCTTAAAAACAATGTATCAATTTGTAAGCATTCAAGCTAAAAGTAATAAAGTGAAATATGCATGTTGTATTTCTACTTTTTGGGGTGGTTTATTTTCAGATTTTACAGATTACACATTCAGTGCGCACTGGGCAACCCAGAACTCCTTCAGTTCAGTGCACATTTATCACAAAATAATCAAGCTGCACTAATTCTAGCAGTAAGTAGTAGTGTCGTTCTGACACTGTCAGGAGACACTAACTGAACCATGATTCGTTTTCAGGTTCCAGGCTCCAACTTCAGTTTCCACTTTCCATCACGACAGCCTGACTTAGTGAAATACTTATACACACTTCCTGTTCCATTGCCAAACAGCAGAACAAGCTATTAGTTCAGAGAGGACCACACAACACAAACCTCTAGCTTGAATTGCGTATCTGTTAGTGATGTTACCACGTTCAAGTGATTTTAATTAATTGTCTCTGGGAAAAAGCATTAATAAATCTTTATAATAATAAAGCATGACATGTCTTTAACAAAAAGGAGCATAACTTAAACATTTCAACATTTTTAACTACAGCAAAGATCCCTATTATTGTAAGAACTGATTATATTTAAGTTGTGAAATTAAATTGTATTTTATGAAGAAGCAGAAGAGAATCAGTGACACAGAATTTTTAAAGGCAACGTACTGGAGTTACAAAATCACTGTTCAAGAGCACAACTTCACAACATGGTCCTCATCACTGTTTCACAAGCATTGCTTCAAAGAGAAGCATCAAAACACATAAAACACTTAAAATTGAACACGTTATAGGCTTTGGGGGTATAGAAAAATGAGTAGCCAGTTTGCCTTGAAAAGCTCCTTCGGAACACACAATTAATAGAGCAAGTATTAACAATCTTTCACAGCAGGAAAGGAAACTCAACTACTAAGAATCAGAAATGAAATGAATGCAACTTCACTGCAACAGCCTAAAGTTTATTCACGCATTCAAGGCGTCACATGGTGGAAAGTTATCATTTCTTAAGGATATCTTAGCACACAAAGGACACCATCTACCTTCAGATTTAGTGAATGTAATAAGATGTAAGTTTAATAGACAGTATTTAATCTGCAGTTCTGCCTGGAGTCCTTAACTATGCATTTTTTTCACTGAACACATGATCAGGAAAAGTGATGGACAGCCAGATTTCATGACTCACACCTTCAGACTAATGCCAGTCATGGCACTGAAACATCACTCAAATTGTTAACTAAGGAAGCTTACTACATTTGAAAGCAAGGAATGCAGATGTGGATGTCAAGCACTGTAATCATAAACAGTAAATTAAGTGAAGGAAAAACAACACGTACAAAAGCAGAAGGGAACTGCACAGTTGCTTTTCTCTGGTATTCTTCTCAGAGAAGAGCCTGCAAAGGCTCCCACACATCTGCCCTTCCCCTGCTCCCCACACTATTTCCCTCAAGCCCCCATTGCCTTCCAAGCTGCAGAACGTAACGCTTTGCTGCAAGCTTCAAGACACTGAGACATCGACTTTAATCCGAGCAGAATTTTAACGAGCAAATCCCTTTTCCTCAGATGCATTTCTAACATCGAAATCCTACCCTTTACCTCACCACATCAGCACAGATATAACCGCACTGACACCAGGGAAACGCAGGCACAAGGAGAGCGCCGCATGAGTTAAGCCGACGTATCTCCAATGAGGCACAGTAAGCCCTTTAACCCAGAGGGAGAAGCTCCCTGGACGTGCGGGCGACAGCGATCCGCCACAGCGAGAGGAGAGCGGTGAAAAAAGGCGATGGAGAGGAGATGACGGCGCAGGACGGGGACAGCTGAGGGAAAGGACACCCGCGCGCCGCTGCCCGCTCCCGGCCCCTCCTGGCTCCCTTCACCTGCCGCTCCCCCTGGGCGCCGTACTTGTTCCCGCTCTGCAGGCCCAGCGCCTTCTCCAGTAAGGCCAGCTCATCCGCTACCGGCCCCAGCCGCGCGGCGGCCGCCATCTTTCTCAGAGAAGCACCTGGTCGGAAAGGACCGGCCGCAGCCGCCACCTGCCAACAACCGCTAATCCCATTGGAGAACACGCCACCACACCTCCTCAACAACCGTTGTTGCCATTGGGCTGAAGGACTCAGCCGACCAATCAGACGCTCGGCTCAGTCCATTCTTGCGAGGAGCCAATCCGAGTTTTGAAACCTCGGAGAAGCGAGGGAGGTTCCGCGGCTCGCTGAGTGCGCATGCGCAAAGGACGCCCGCGCGCAGAGGTGGGCACGCCTCATTTTGTGGATTGCGCATGCGTGAAGGGCGGGGACACACTGCCAGGGTGTGACGTCCGGTGCTGGGCGGGGCGGTGGTTGTGCGCGGGGTGGAAGGCGGGCAGGGGAGGTTGGAGGGCTGTTGGGTTGCCAGGCGCTGCGCGGAGGCGCGCTTGGCGTTAGTCTGTTTGTACGGGTGCGCGTTCAGTGCCGCACGAGGTGCGGCCTCGTCCTTAAGCGAGATTGGATCCGTGCTTGCTCCTCTGAAAGAGGCAAATAAACGGAGGAAAACAAGCAGCGCTGAAACATTAATTGGGTCATAGAATCACAGAATGGCCTGGCTTGAAAAGGACCATAACGATCACCCAGTTTCAACCCCCCTGCTACATGCAGGGTCACCAACCAGCAGACCAGGCTGCCCAGAGCCACATCCAGCCTGGCCTTGAATGCCTCCAGGGATGGGGCATCCACAGCCTCCTTGGCAACCTGTTCCAGTATTCATGCAGTGTTCAGACCATCGTCATCAGCTGGCCATACGGCATCTCAATATAATGGCAATACCAGCTTGGAGAATCCCATTTTCAGTATCACGTCAGCCCAAGTGCATTGCCGTGGCAGTGGGTTTCTCAGCTGCATGGATCTGTTAGTCAAGCTGTGGTGTGCTGTCTGGGAATATCATGAGATTAACTAGACAGAACCCGTCTCTCAGTCTGGCTTCATAAAAGTACACGGCTGATGAAGTGGCACTGCCTGCCCTTCTATGTATAGGGCCTGCCTTCCACCCTGGGACTCACAAACCTGTTGTTGAGCTGCAGCCAAATTTACTGGAAAAGCTGACATTTCAGTTACATTACTAAAGATTTTGTGAGGTGAATGCAGGGAAATCGCTTGGCCCACTGTGCGTGCCTGTCAAGGGCATCCAAAGAAGAGGATGCAGAGCTTGTCACCACCTGGCCTGACTAAATACCATATTTAAGATTCGTTGAAGGTGTGGTTTAATCACCTTTCTAACAGAAGATATTCTGCAAATACCACATCTCCATATCTGATCATAAATGTTAGAAATTAAAACAATTTTTGATCGACAGACATATTTGTCCAGCATACCAAAGTGCCATTCTAGATAGAAGACTTCGATACCAAGCCGATGTTTTTACTAAAAACAATGAGCTGATCTTGCCCTGCTATGGAGAATTTCAAAGCAGAGGCTCAGGGCGATGGCTGTTTTCATCATCTAGAATAAGATGATCCTGACAAGTGTCCTGGTTCCTCACGGAAACGCTTGTCTTGATACAAGGCGACACTTAGATCTGTACCTTCTGTTGCAGAAAAAGTCCGCAAGTGGCCACGGAGCCTTCATCTGAGTGAGGAGCAGTTCTGAATGCACCGGTGGGTTTTTCTACTTTTGCAGAAATTTGTCTGCTCTTTTATATTAATGTCTGCAAAGCACTTCAAGATTTGAAAAAAGAGTTGTGCTGCCTTGAACACGGCATTGCTTTTTGGTGTCGTTCTTCAGCTTGTTTCCTGGAACTGTATTTTGCAGTGCCAGAGTTCCAGCTGCGTTCCAGTGGGAGGCCAGTAAATGATCAAAAATTGTATACAACATCTTAATTTTAGTGGTAATTTGATCTAGACATTTCACTGATTTTTTAAAAAGCCAGTTGATTGGTTGAGACTCTCTAAATCCACAAAGAAATAAAGATTTCGTTTTCCAACATCTGAAAATTAACCACCAATCTTTATGTGTATTTACCATCTTCATACATATTTACCATCTACTTTGCATACTTGTAATTTTTAAACTATTATAACAAAAGTTAAGGTATTACATCAGTGTGAAATTTATCAGTGGGTTGAAATATCTATCAGTAGCAATAAAAAGAAGGCTTCGATTCTGGTCAGATTAAAAGATCAAGCTATTTTGTTTAGCTTTCATACCACTGCAAAGTTTTAATGTCCTTGGAAAGGGAGACTAAAATTAGGCAGAGGAGATAAACCGCTCATGGTTTCGTAGCATTTTTCCCTTGATAATACTATTTAGCAGCTTCTGCGTTCCTTTTTCTCTACAATTCTCTCCTGGCTCCATTAGGTGGAGCTTTATGATTAAGACTGGGGAAGAAACTTGCTTCCGAGTCCAAAATAATTCACCACAGAAAGGCTGGGGGAGGAGGCGAATGAAGTGTACTTTGCTTAGAGGTATCAGTGTCCTGTATGTGGGCTTGATACACAAAAATCTGAATCAAGACCCTTGCTCACAAGGAAAATAACTTGAAAGATCAATTCTGTCAAATGAAACGCAGCTCTAATCTGCTGTTATCATAGTCAAGTTCTAAATCTAAAATACCCTAGGTTATAAATTAAATGTCAAATATAATTAATTTGGCACTTGAAACATGAAGTGGATGACTGTCCTTTAGAGAAAGCCTGACAGCTTTATGTATGTCACATTGGTATCTGTTAAAATGAGCTTTACATGCCAGATGATCCTTGTGTGAATCATATTGCTGTTGGCTGTACCAGAATTTTGTCAATGTAATAAGTCTCAGAAGAGTGTTCCCCCTAATTGTCTTAAGCTTTTGCAAGACAATATAAATCAAGTGTCATCTGCCTCTTCTATGCAAAATAATGGTTTTATCATACACGAAATAAGCGATGTATTCCTTATTCATTACTAGAGAAGACACTCTTCAATATTTACATATAAATCTATTTTTTATACAAACAGAGAATATTTTCTGCCCCGTGCTTCAGACCCACTGCAGTTACAATTTGATTACATTCCCTCCCCCCCTGACATTTGGCAGCTGCAGTGGAAGTCCCAGATACCTTTCAACATGCAGATCCCAGCAATGGCTACATGCTCTGCTCCCTCCCCAGCCCCTGCCCCTTGTACACCTTTCTCTCTGTGCCTCAGACCAGAAGTGAAAACTTCTTTCCTCACTTCTTGCATTTTCTGTCCCTGCTTTGCACAGTGAACCACGTGCATCTTAATGCTTATTTATTCACAGGTACCCCTGGGGAAGAGCAGAAGGCAGGTTTGCCCTATAGACACTTATACACAGCTGTTGAAATAAAAATATTGATAAACCACATTATTTCCCGCTTAATATGACTGGTAGGACCTTCCTAATCCAGACCTCATAAAAATTCTACAAGCAAAGATTTTTCAGCAGAGTGCTGCAGTGAGGTTTCATTGCTATAGTTTCACTATTAATTTTCTAAATACCAATGGGCTAAATGTTTGTGACTGATAACCTTTACACTGCTGGATCTACAGCCTATGCAAGCTCTATTTCTTTAGATGAAGTGCAAAGTAGAGGCTGAGAACTCAGTACTGTTTTTCCACTAGTGGAAAAGAGGGGAATGTGTGCAGCACAACTGGAAGCTCCACACTTGTTCCTGGTCTCCCTGTGGCAGCCATATGAAGCCAAACGAAAATGGGTATTTGTAAAGTTCTCTTGGAAAACCAAACACATGAAAAGAATGATTCATGAAACAGCTACCTCTCCTTTTATTCTCTTTTCACAGCCCTGTGCTGTACAACAGAAACATGAGCCCCCAGTCCATGTTAAAATTTAGCCAATGTTATATGTTTCAGGGAGGAAAAAATAAACCAACACAACTTAGAAGTAATATTTGAAACCTAAAAAGCACAATAGTTTTGTCTTTTTGTCTCATTTCTACTAGGTTACACTGACACAGGGACTTCCAGCCCAAAGCTTTTTTGCAGGCAGTGACTCAGAGCTGTGTCTGTTCCAGCAGCCAGCAGTTGATTTCAGCCAAGGTGCGTACTGGGAACAGGGGAAGTTGCCATGATATTGCTGCTGTGAGAATGCAGCACCAAAAGTAGGGCACGGGAGATTTGTCACACTCCTGAGAAGACTAATCAGATGCACGTGTGTCTTAATTTAGTGAAAAATGCATGTTTCTATTCATTGAAGTGACAAGATCCATCAGCAACCATTACAAAACTCACTTACTTATTTTTGTGTTCTTTTTAGTGCAAGATAACTCGTTTGTGCCCAGGCAGTGCAGGACACTGCAGGGTTTTAAGAGTGTTGTCTTATTGCAAGGCAGTGCCGGATCCAGAGTCTGTACAGCTGCATCACTGCAGTACTGCATAGAAGCTAATTAGCCCAGGTAGGAGGCAATTAGCTCCACGCTGCTGAGCCTGTTTTTATTGTGTTCCCAGAGCTGACACAGTCATTCACAGCTCAGGGACCTCTGTCCTTTGTCTGCTACAGGCATGTCTCTGAGTGGATCTCAGAAGTGTTGTGACTTGGCTTCGAGGTTAAACAACTGTTGAATGTGGGTGTGAGTTTGGGTTTGATAATTCCAAAATAATTCTTAATAATTTCTGTGGTTTGGAGACAATTCAATGAAGAATATGCATATACTGTATTTATTAAAAAAAAATGACAAATTATTTAAAAAGTCATTGAAGTATTTTTGTGAGAAAGTAATTTGATTGCTCAGTAAGATGAGAGTCAGCTCTTAGGCACCAAGTATCACAGATTTCCACAAGACTGAAACTCTGTGTGGCACAGGACCAGTTTTGTTCAGTGTCTGTGCGTACTAAGAGTGAGCAGCTCTGTTCCAGATAGATTGCTAAACAGATTAAAGAGGTAAAAGCTAAAAGCTAAAAGTAGACTTAGAACTCAAGTTTTCAGTGGCTTGTCTTGTGTTAACGGGGTACAATTGGCTGTGGAAAATGTAAACTGCTTCTTTTGCAGCTAAAAGAGGTAAGCTGGGTTTTGTCTGTTGTGTTTTTGAAAGCAATGCAATCACT